ACATAGGTTTGTTTTTTTGGGGGGGGGGGAGGAGGTGTTGGAAGGTTTAAAAACTGTTGGAAGTGGATCAGGCAGGAGTGCTTGTAAATGAAAGAAATCATGGCAAAGACCAATAATGTAAAAGTATTAGTTATGGAAATTACAGGATTTAGGGGCTGACTTATTTCTGAAACAGCTTGTCACAGTACTCCCATTTTGCTCTTTTCCATCTTAAATGTTTCTCAACAACTCATTTTTGATGGTGGTTATTTTGCATATCGGTATCGAGACAACCCAATTTTGGGCCACATATGTTAATGAATTTAAAAATTGCAACAGTTTGCTTGAACTTTTTATTAAAATAAATTAAAATAGCCGTTACTTTTTGCGCTGTAATTTTTGGCTAGTTATTAGCAGGTCCAAAACGTGAAAGTGTTATCAGTGGTAAGAAATTCTTATAGATTTTTTTTTTCCTCTACTGGTTTCAAGAACAGTACCTCTCTGGTGCATCACTTTGAAGATTAGCAACACAAAAAAAATAAACTGAGTTTTGGGATTTGTTCTACCTGGCTTCAATTTAATACCGTTTATAGGTAAAACCACCCTTCCTGTGTTACTGTTTTTGTCTTTTTACTATGACATTGAGTCAAAATATGGGATGAGAGATTTTGAATTTGGAGTCATTTTATGTATGTTAGAAAAGAGTTCTGCCCCAAAATGACCATATAAAGGTACTGAAAATTCGGAAATTCTAAAAAATCAAGTAGGCTTCATGGTGAGTATTCAGATAACTCTTTTGAAAAGTGTCTATAAATGTCCACATACCACAGCAAAACCCTTCCTGAAGGAGTTTTGTGCAGAAAAAGAATAATTTCATGTTAGAGTTGCTCTGGTCTCCCCCGGTATCACCCTTGAAAGGGCTGGGAAGCCAAGAAAAGAACCACAGTTCTACTTCTTGGTCAGTTTATGCCTATTTACCATTTGTACCCAAAGCGGTATGCAGCCTCCCCCAGACATAGACCCCCACATTCAGAATATCCTGTTCTGTTTTGTTTTGTTTAGAACAAATCTGCACAGACCAACTTAGTGGATGTACTTGTATGTAGGGGTCAGCCAGGGAAAGAGGCAGTTGAGGGAAGTGCCCAAGAGAGGCATGCAGACCTGGGTAGGACTAGCTTGTAGAACAGGTTTTCCTTAAGAAAGGATTCAAATGTTTACAATAGCGTATGAGGTGTCTGAAAACTTAGATTGCTTGTCTTGCAGAGTGCTAAAGTAACTCTGTCAACAGGGTTTATCATTTCCTCTCATTCAGATTTGTTTTGTGTTAAACTATGTAATCATTATCATGTAAAAACAATCCCAACCAAAAGTGAAGGGGGAGGGTGCTGGCAGTATAAAGATGATTGGAAAAAAACAATGTTTTTCCAATCTATCTACATTAGATCAGCTCTGAGAGGTAGATCATGATGATTTCCCTGCTTTTGACTAGATTTAGAACAAAAAGAATAGATCAGACTGATCAGCATGAAGCCATGTGGACTGAATTATGCTCTTGCCTTGGATCCATTCCCTTTTGGAGTAAATTCTTTCCAGGCATTGAAGTAGAATATTGGGAAGGGGGAAAGCCAAGGTACTATAGTATTTGTGGGATCTTTTTAGGGCACTCCATTCAAGCACAACATTTGGTCAAAGTATCCAATCTAGAATCAGAATGAAGTCTGAGTCTTGCTTCTTAAGCTTGTCCAGGTATCTTACTGTGATGCTGCTGAGAGAAGGGATGGTCTTGTGCTAGGGCATTAAATTTGCATGTGGGCTGAGTTTATTATCTAAAGATGCAATAGGTGCTCCATAAGTACCTCCTTCCCAGTAAAAGCAATGGAAGTTAAGTGCTTTTGAAAAAAATCATTAAGTGACAGATACAGAAGCCAGTGTTATATTTGGGAGTTTCATACAAATTGGTTGCAAATCAGGTGTCTAAATAGGTTAGGCATGCTATATGACTTCAGCTTATAAATATGCAAGTGCCTATATGCATCTTTAGGAATATAATTACCTTCAGTAGTCACTGGGCCCAAGTTGCTTAGCATCTTGTATCTCAGGGTGCAGACGTTGCCTTTGTACTGCCATAACAATTTTTATGGTGGGGCAAAGGGAAAGCAAACCAACCCATACCATTTGTCACACCACAGATGCCCAAATTGTGGTCCAACAAAGGTGGTAATAATTTCTGCTACTTTATTATGGGAGACATCTATTAGCTTTATCACAGGAGTGTGTGGGCAGCCTGGAGCTGCCCATGCTTTCCAGCTGTCCCAGGCAGGAGTTCTCTGAGCTCCAGGGGCCCAATTCTGCCCTCCCTAGGAAACCCCAATTGGGATCAGGCCCCTCAAGCCCCAGAAGTGCCTGCCGAACTTTCTCCTCCTACAAAACCACATCCCAGGGAATCATTTTAGATAAACACAGGCTTCCCTCAGTTGTATTTTATGTTCCTGGCTAGTACTCCTGTGAAACAGCACCTTATTCAGGCATATACAGACTTCCTGGCATAGTTGCTCTAGTGCTGTATGCAGTGCTTTCTTTTCTTCAGCAAGTAATGCATATAGTTTTAAGCTGCTTAAGGTAGGATAGGTTGAAGAGTGTAGTACCAATACAGAGACAACAGATAGAGCTAAGTCCTCTTGAAAAGAAATTGTTGGCAATTTTATCTTTTTCTCTCTTAAAAACAGCAATTCAGGGAAATCCAAATATAGTCAGGGATATTAACTATAACCAGTTTGTGCTGCAAAGAACATACATTTCATTCATGTACGGTTAACAGTTCTAAACTAATAACTCGGAGTCGACTTAAGGTTTCCACTTAAAGCGAATATATCCTCATTTGCTTGTTAAAGGAACCTTAATGAATGAACTTTGTGTTTTCTCTAGATCATACAAGACTATTTGTTTATTTAAGTTCTGTTCTTACTATTGTGGTAGAAACCTTGTATTTTCAATTTTCTTGACTTTTGCTTTCTCAACCTTCATGGTAATATTTTGGCAGTGGTATTTGTTTGACCTGGGAAGACAGGTTAGCTACAGTATACACTTATTCAAACTTTCTAAAAAAGTAAATGAAGAATTGTAGTGCAGACAGAAGACAGGTTGAGTTTATTAGTTTGCCACTTCTAGAATTCTCATTTCAAAAAACAGGAGCACTATGGCAGCAGAGTGGTATTAGTAACACCATTCCACCATGGGCATAGCAAGTGAAGGAGATTGAGTTTGAAACTCAGTATGTGGGAGTTTTCTGCAAGCAGGAATTTGGTCCTAGGAATCAAGATCCTCAAAGACTGCAAGTAAAGCAACTAAATACCTTTGAGGATCTTGGCTTGTAGTAGCAGAGTGATCTATGACTGTAGCTTACTTTGAGGTTTGCATCCAAGTAAAAAAGGTTCTCATCAGGTCAAATCCTCTGCTAGTAGAGGGAATATATTGTTTATATATTCAAACAGCTACATTTTCAGCTGTGGTACAGTTTAAATTTGTGCTGCAGGGCTTTGAGCTAAGAAACGGCCCAAAGTGAAACTAAGTCCAAACTAGTCATGAGCAGAGGTAACCTTGGAGCAGTTTGCACAATTTACTAATGAGAAACACCTGAAACAGGGCAAGGCTCTGGATGCTTCTAGTAGCATCTTCAGGCACTGGAATTTTGCTTTTATGATTTAAAATATCACCACAAATTGGTGTGCATAAGCTTGTAAATGTCTGGCTGCCTCAGTGTGCTTTGGTATCTATTCATGTTGGCTTGTTTTGGCTAAAAATAAGCTATGAATGAACTTTCTAATTTTTTTTTTAATATAAGAAATGTACCAAATAAAACCACACTTTGTTTCATGTTCATGCTTTTTCTCAGGAGGGACTCTTGTAGTCGTTACTGTAATGACTTGGTATCTGTGGGAGTAACTGACTTCGCTTTGGCATCATAATCATCCTTGTATCACTGGAAAATTTGGCACCTCTACAGCACCCTCTGAGGAACTGTATTGTATGGCCTCTATTCTTTCTCCTTGCTGTCCCTCCTCCACCCCTCCCCTTCTCTGTAATGGAACTGGAGTGGGATAGACATTTCAACAATTCAGGTAGAAAAGCTAGATGTGTCCTTGACAAAAATAAATAAATAAATAAATAAATTAGGTGCCAGAGTCAAAAACTGATCCTTAAACCCCCTGTTCAGTTGCTCTCTCTCTCTGGAGGTGCCAGAAGGCCAAGGGCACTGAAGTTGATGTTCAGGTCCTCCAGAAGTACATAAGGCATCAATGTGGCCCAGCTTGAGGGCCCAGTTCCCATCTAAGCCCCACCCAAATGCATGGACCCAAATTGTCTTCTGCACATGGCATGTGAGGGGCTGGAGGAAGCCAAACAAGTTGGGCTCTGCACAAAACATGACTGGTGTCAATAGCTTGGGGATGTGGGAGATCCACATTGTTTCCCTCTGATAGAGAGGACTCAAATACAAAAGTATTAGTAACTAGGTCAGGGATTGGAAGCCAGGACCCCTTTTTCTGGTTAGTGCCCTAACTGTTAAACTACCCAGCTCCTCATTCCTGCATCTTTCTGGCCTAATTAATATTTAATCAAGCAAAGCAGAATAATTTTGTTGAAGATACCTCTGCCCTGGAATAGCCAGGTGAGATGGGGGGCGTCTCCTGGGAGCTCAGAGATGCAGACTTGAAACCTTTCAGGCAAAAGAAAAAACTAAATCCACCAGGGAGGGGAGAGACTAGATTCTGGACTCCATCACAAGGTCTCTCAGCCTTCTTCTCTTTACATTTCTTCTGCTGACAGGTGATTCTTCACTCCTTCACTGTTGGTTCTCTTGCCCCATCTCCCATGGCAAAGTCTGTCCTGTCAACCCC